GGTGGCTTTCATGGTGAATATAACCATGACATATGGAGATTTTTGGTTTGTATAGTTAGATATGGTTTTAAAATGACATAATGACACCACTTTATAATTTATTTAATGGTGGCATGATTGTTATGGTGTCATAAATGATGATTTATATAGTTTTAATATGTGCTCAAAAAACTGTCTGCATGAGTCACCATTTTGTGAGCCTTGTATCTCCACCATATCTCCACCGATTCCCACGGTGTAGGGCTCAAATGAAAGCCCTGAAGCCATACTACAATGTGCTATAAGCATGTCCTTGAGGCATTTGTTCGTTCTCACACAATATCATAGATAGTGAAAAATGTCAAAACATGCAGACAGTTTTTTGAGCCACTGTAGTTATGGTTGATATCCAGAGGTCCAGAGATCTGAGGATCTGGAAGGTGAGGTGGATACAGGACTGGGATACAATGAGGTGGATATAGTCCTGAATCTGAGATGAGGTGAAGTCTGGATGTCTTGCTGGATGGTGTGTGCATAGGGTGGACAGGATAGGGTGGTATGGATCAGGCTAGCAGTGAGGGTCCAGAGGTCAGGGGTAAATCCAGAGCAGAGTCGATCCTACTGAGGTGTGGAGCACACAGCAGAAGGGGATCTGGCAATGAGTTGGATGTGGGGTCTGGACGTAGGCTTGGAAGGTGTGGGAATATTATGGAATGTGAGTCTGGATTGTGGGATATGTCATTTTTGCTGAGATACAGTACTAGAGTATTCTTCTGATCTGTGAATCATAGTGTTGTTTGCTGGGTGTTCAAGTAGAATCTTGGATGTTTGTTTGCTAATTGTTATATACTCTTGCAATGTCTTATCAATCTTATCACTGAAACAATCTTATCAATGTGTAAGTATTTGACTACATCTGCAGTGGACTTGTCATTTTAGAGTATTCCCTGAGCCTCTCATCAGCATACAATAGAGGTTACTGGCCTAGTCCAAACAGGGAGTGCAGTTTGGATTAAACTGACATGCTTAGCTTTGTAGATGCAGGGTCTACAGAGGACATGTGTGCTAATGTGCACAGATATGTTTCAATTATGTTAGCATGAAAAAAATGAGGACATTGCATAGACTACCCCATCTTTACATTATTCTCATTCTTGAGTACTATATGTTCTGAGGCTCTAATATATATATGTTTTTCTCTCCAATACAAAAATAACATACTGCAACATCTCTGGCCCTTTCTGGTAAGGTCCAGTTTTCACTAGGATTAACCAGCCTGCTGCAGTTTTCTGCTCAATGTCTGTGCTAGATCACTTGGAAAATGGCTAATGGTGGTAGCATGGTTCTCATGCTGTGATTGCTTACTAGGCCACCACACATTGCACAATGACTGTTGTAATGTGCTGGACATGAAACAAGCATTAGGAAATTACCAGGTTCCTTTTAATTCCTTATTTGCTCCTCACTCACCTCAATTTGTGCAATAATATAAATAAAATGCTGTTTATTCACACTTGAAATAAGGAGATAAAGGAGGTCTATTTCCTTAAACTAAGGAAATAAGATGGTTGAAAATACTTTTATTTTGAGATGTATGACTAAGGTAAGCTAAAGCAAAAAAAGGATGTCAATGAGTTCAAGGTGTTCCATGAAAATAAGAAAAAAAACAATTAAAAACATGTCTAATGATAGCCTGAGCACACATATAGTAGCTGACTAATTCCTGTGAAGTATATCTTCACCCTGACCCTTGCAGCATGCATGCTTCATATATAATTGAGATCACACAATGATCTTCTGCATGCAGTCATAGGGCAGCTCCTCAATTCATTCCATGTATGGGAGCATGTCAGTCTCTCACTTACCAGATGAAAATGCAGTACTGGTATTGCTCATCTTGTTGGTTGCTTGGTTGAGCATCAATGCAATCTTGTGTTTGCCATGGTCCAAATGTCTTCTATGATGAGGTCATCACAAGCCAAAGTGAGTGCATACTCAGTCTGAAAGTATGATGTCAGTAAGTTTCATAAAGATGATAGCAAACTCACAGCTGCTGTGGTGAGTGCAAGCACTGTTTGATATCTAAGTAACCCAAAGTCAAGTGTGCCCACTTTCAGGCATCCTTAGATAGCATTAAGGTGAGCAGAAAAAACATGCAGGATAAATTCTGATAAGAATGCTCCAGGGGAGCCTTTACTATCTGGGTCTTAATATATAAACTGTGAATCCTCAAGCTGATATTTGGTGCATGCTTTCTGTGCTTCTTTTGTCTCATATTTATCTGTTGAGGCAAAAAATGCCATCAAATAGTAGCAACTGATGAAGCCTAGAAGTAGCTCAGCAAGTATAATAGAACAATACTGAGGTATGGGAAAGCTGCAAGTGAGTACAAAAGTATCAATAGAGGATCTATGGCTGAGTGGCAAAGGTGCAAAACTGTATAGTTCTAGGAAGAAGTTTCATGTATGTCAACATTCAAAGGCAGGAGGTGTGGCATGGATGTGGCTGCTGTCAAGGGCACCAATAGCATCCTTAAAAAAAGGTCAGAACTTCAGGTCGCAGCAGATTTTTGAGAAGACTGATGCATCTAGTAAGGATATGTAGGTTGAATAGAATGGGGGGTACAAGAAAATTACAAGCATTCTTCAAAAGTAACTAGTAGATATAAGTACAAGACACAAGTCCAATCACAAAAACATAGCACTTACTGAGAGATCATCTCATTGGAGTGCTGGAACCTCTAACATGCTTGATTGAAAGGCCAGTGATACTAGTGTACATAAATATGGCAAGTTGTTCCTCTAGAGAGATGAATTTCAAATCAGACACCCCAAGGGCACAAAGTTCTGATATAATCTGTGTGAAGACATAGTTATGTACCCCAAGTTCACACTGGATCCATTCTGGATGACCTATATGTAGTTCTATCACTCAGGCTTCACTGGAAAGCACAGAAGTGTGGTATGGCAGCAGATCTCTTGGGTACAGGGCTGCAACTAAGGTCCCAGATGTGTTGATGAGGATGCCAATTAAAAGTATTGCATATTGTATGATTAGTTACTGAGCTTGTAGTATAGTGGCTTAAAAAAGTGTCTCAGTATTTGTGACTTTTCATGTAATTGCTTCATTATGAGCCAGGGCATGAGAATATGACTAAGCCATAGGAAGGTGTGGGAAAGATCTGCTTCTAAGCTTTATGTTTGATTCCTATAGTGTGGGAATATTATGTCATCAAGGGAAGATATTGTTAATTTAATTTGGTGACTCATTAAGACACTTTTTGACTTTCAGTTTGACCAACACAATCTCTATGATTCTACTACTTGGTGCTTCCTCCTGTTGCTCTAATTACTTCTCCCACTCTTCTATGCATACTATCAATCAATTTGAGGCATTCCCCATCAACAATCTTGCCCCACTCTGCTAAAACTCTCTCTCACAGCTGAAATAACTCCTATTAAAGATCTTGATAGACTGCAAGTGATATATTGAGTAATTACCAGTGCTGTTTAATAGGGTTAAGGTCTAAGAACTGGATTTGCCATGATAGAACACTAATACCATAATTTTCAAACCATTTTATGGTCAACTTGAAGTATGCTTAGGGTCATTTTCTTGTTGGAAGGTAATGTCTTCTTCATTAATTCTTGATTCTTGCATGCTTCTGAGCAGATACTTTCCAGAATTAAAATGTGCTGCTCTGCATTTATCCTCTCCCCCACCTCACAGAGAATTCCTACTCCATTTCACCTCATACAACACCATACCATCAAGATTCCTACTTCATGCTTTAGTGTTTTCTTGACTTTTCTTTCTTCTAGCAATTCTTCTGCCTTTCATCACATATATTCCTAGCCATCTGACCCATCCTATTGGTTTTTGTCTCATCTGACCAGGTAGCCCTATTCCAGTCCTCAATAGTCCAATATTGAGGCTTTAAAGCAAAGGCTAGTCTCCTCCCTCTATAGGCTGAAGACAGGAAAGATTTTTTCTGCCTCTTTACAGCTTTAAGATTAGCTGCTTTAGGAGTATTCCTGACTATTTTAGTGGAGAGAGCAATGTAGATGATGTAATTGATGAATTTGGTGGCTTGAGTAGCACTGGCAGCCTGCCTAGTTGGAATATTATGAACAAGAGATTTTTTGTTATATGGTGTAAGCTTGAATGGACAATTTAATTTGATATATTTTTTATCTGGAATAACTTTTTTATGATATTAATGATAGTAACCCTGCTCAGACCAGTTTTAGTAGCAATCTGCCTGGTATACAGATTAGAAGAGCTGAGAATAATAATAGGGGCTATTTCAGCTGTGGGAGAGAGTTGCAACAGAGTGGTGCAAGATTTTTGATGAGGAATGCCTCAAATTGATAGATAGTATGCATAGAATAGTGGTAGAAGTAATTAGAGCAATAAGAGGAAACACCAAGTAGTAGAATCATAGAGATTGTGTTGGTCAAACTGAAAGTCAAAAAGTGTCTTAATGAGTCACCAAATTAAATTAACAATATCTTCCCTTGATGACATAATATTCCCACACTATAGGAATCAAACATAAAGCTTAGAAGCAGATCTTTCTCACACCTTCCTATGGCTCAGTCACATTCTCATGCCCTGGCTCATAATTGGCTTTCTAAGCTAGCTGAGGCATGAGGCTAGTGTAGAATATAGTCTATGTGCAAATAAGTGAAGTGGTGCAGAACTTCTTTCTTCTGCCTATTTTGCAGTAGTCTCTCACTTTCAGTACAAGTTACTAGACATCAGCCTTTTTGCTCTCTTGTTACTATGTTTCAAGAAGATCCTAATGAAGCTGTCAGGTCTGATTTTGCAATGGAAGAACATCAACCAGCCAGGCAACAACTCACTGATTAAGGGCTTATGGAAGAGCAAGCTGAATGCACTCTGGCTTCACTATTGATCTAGCTAACAATGCTGACAAAGAACATTAGGCAGTCAAACAACAGCAACTATGAGCTATTTGCTAACAGGAAGAAGAAGACAAAGAGCAGTGTCTACAACTTCTATGTGATGAAGAAGATGCAGCCCAGCAAGAGAAAAGGAAAAAGAACAAAAATAAGTGCATGCCTCTTAAGTGTGACAAAGTTCCTTCCAACCCTAGCATCATCCTGGCTGCATACACTATCAGAAAGCTCAAGGCAGGTGAATACTGCAAGCTGCACTACCTCACCAATAAAGGCTTAGAAGATACCAAAGCTGCAGTGCTGGTAGCAACCCTGATGCACTCATAATGCTCCCAGCAGTCAATGGCATTCACACCTGGGTGCCAGCAGCTGCAGTTAAAGACCTGAAAGTGTCAGCAGTTACCAGAGATGAGAACCTCTCATGGGAAGAATTTCATGAGGCCATGCCACACATTATTAACATGATGAAAGTTCAAGACTGGCTGGATAACAGGGTTAACATGCACATACAGTTCTGGTCAGCACTAATGAACCATTGCTGGCATCATGCACCCAACCTTCTCAAGCAATGTGCTTTACTGCTATACCAGTCCCAACAACAATGCAGGTAGCATCTCACTGTAGGATCCATGCAAGTTTGGAGCCTTGAAGAGATCAATCAAGACCTTTTAATCAAGGCAAGAGAAGAACTCTTCAACAACCAGCTAGAGAAAAAACAGGCAGCAGCCATTCAGGTCTGTTTTGTTTTGTCATGCTAAGTCAACCATTACACTTGCTCATTGTCAACCATAATCCCTTTTCCCTTTAAAAAAACCTTTTACATCTTTAATGGGGTCATCATAACACTTGTTGTTTTGTTAGCCAATCATGTGCCTACAAAACACAAACCCACATGTTTCTTCATGCAAAACCCCCTCTTCCTCTGTCATCATGACATGAAACAAGCCACTGGCCAACTGTATGCCTATCTCCTTAAGAAACCAACTCACATCTTCTGTTATCAAAACAAAATGAATGATACTACTGTCGCAAACACTGTGTTTCCTGCTATCATAGCAAGTGGCATCAGCCTATATAATGAATAACCAGAATTCATTACACTCACAAGCTACCACAGCAGCACAACAACCATCAGGGCAGAAATGTGCCTATCATCCAATGGAAGAGACTACCAGGAGCAACAAGAAGATACACACCATTCATACCACTCCTCCTACCAGCCCTCTTCCATGTTGTGCAGTCTGCTTTGGCCACAACCCACACTGCGCCATTAAATGCACATCAATGCACACCTAGGACAAGTAACACAAAACCTTCTCAGAATGAATCCACAAAGGTGAGTCTGGACCAAAGATGGCAAGCAGATTTACACCACTGGGCAAAGAGATGAAGGCTGTAGCACTCCCAAACACAATGCTTGTCACATATGCTCCAGATGTGGAATGGCAACACATGGAGCCCAGAAGTGCCCTAGAGCACAGAAAGAAGTTTCCACTAATACTGTATAAGGCAGATGCCTGGTCAAGAGAGTTACAATGAGCTGGTATCATAGAGTGTTTTGCTAAGGTCCTGGTGAAGGAATCAACTACTAAGCTATGGCACTACAAGGAATACCAAGTCAGAGTATATGTATGGTCATCTCAGCTCTGCCTAGGCTGCTATACTTCACAAATACAAGTGCATTTGACCTAAGGGGAACCAAGTGCAACACATCCACAGGTCACATGAAGCGTGGGAAAGTTGTGCATGGGAAGGTGTGTGCAGAGAGTGGTAGGGTGCACAAAGTGCAGGAAAGTTGCATGCTAATAGGCAAAAGTGTGCAAAGGGCTAGGAATGTGATGGGAACTAAGGGAAGATGATGACTGATACTGATGGGCACAAGAGTGACAAATGTGATGATGATAGAGTGTGATTGCCAAAATACTACTGACTATGGCTTGAAAATGTGTGCACTATGCTGAGGGATGCTAAGGGATATTAACTGGGAACTAAGTGGTAGCTAACTAAGTCATAAAAAATGTGAATGCTAACATGCAAAAGCTGACTAAGTGTGTTCCCATGATGCAGAGCTGATGTGAGTAAGGCATGGGAATGAAGAAGGTATGTAAGGATATATGTAAGTAAGGGTCTATGATGGAATGTGGTGTCATAATAGAGATAAAGTGCAAAAATGTACCAGTAAGACTTGCTGGACAATGGATGGATGCTCCTGAATGATGGGCGATGAAGCATGGGAAAGCATGTGAGATGCACACATTGCATGATGCACAGGAAGATCATGCATGTATAGGCTGAGTGAAGGAATGATATAGGGAATGATGCTGCAAGTTCATGCTGTGAACTGTATGCAGATACATTGCAATATAGGGCTCTATGGGCATACAGAGGTGTGAGTCTCTATACCGGAAGGTTTCCATTTAGGTTTCAGAATAGATTTCCCTGCTATTTCAGTTGTACAGACTCCAAACAAATATTCCATTGATGAATACAAAAACGAATTCAGAGCAATCATTCAGAGGGAACTTGTTAAAGGAAGATATATTGGGCCTTTCTCAGCTGGAATGTTAAAAGAACTGATAGGTCCTTTTCAATCCTCCCTGATGTCTATCATCTCAAAACCAGGAAAACCTGGGAAGTTTCATATCATACAAAACTTCTTGTTCCCACATGCACTAAGCACACTATTCCCAAACCCTTCAATCAATTCCTACATCAAGGCAGATGTCTTTCCCACAACATGGAGAAAGTTCTTGGCACTGTATCAGTTAATTGCAAGCCTCCCACTCAGATCAGAAGCTGCAACTAGAGATGTTACAGAGGCTTACTGAATGGCACCTCTACATCCTTCCCAATGGCTGGCAGGAATCATACACATCACCGAGAATCAAATTTTTATTGACACATGCACCATGTTTGGCACAACTCCATCAGCAGGAGTATATGGCCATGTAGCAGGTGCAGGAACTGAGCTTTTCCATCATTAGGGCATAGGACCATTGGATAAGTGGGTAGACAACCACATCTTCCTCTGAATCTTATGAAAATACCTAGAAGAATACAACAAAGTCAGAGAAAAGTGGTATCGCACATTTGCCTTGGAAGGTATGCACCAGTTGGGTAGCCACTTCTGGTTTGGAGGTACTTTACCAATATCCAATCAGTCAGAAGAACACAGTGAGGACTGTTCACAACCATTAGCAGACCTTTCAGAGAGCTCTGAAAGGTCAACCCAAGATAGACTGTTCACCTACTGCATGCAAGACATAGACCAGATGTCTGATGACTTAGGAATAATCTGGGAACTGCTCAAAGATCAGGTTTTCCAAACAGCAGCCACTTGCATCAGTTTCATCTGGGATGTCCATCAGAGATCCATATTACTAAGCACCCTGAAAGTAGACAAGTACTTGGCTAAGATACACAAATGGAGAAAATGTTGTGCACATGTTACAGGATATGCAAAAGCTCTATGGCAAGCTCCTACATGCCTGCTCAGCAGTACCACAAGGAAAAGCACATCTGATGGGCCTTGAGGACATGTTATCATACTGCAGCACAAAACCTTTCTTACTGCACAGACCCAAGAAACACATGGCCGTAGACTTAGAATGGTGGTCACTTCTGCTACAGTCAGGCAAAGTAACCAGGCTTATCCAACCAGCAATCCCTCTCACAAACCCCTTAGCCTTTTCCGATGCTAGTTCAGGGATTGGAATTGCTATTGTCATCAAAGACTGCTGGAAAGCTTGGAGACTCATACCAGGATGGCAAACAGCAAACTGCAAATGAGACATTGGATGGGTAGAGGCAATTGGATTCAAAATGCTCATCTATACTCTTGCCACTCTCTCTGATGTTAGTTGCAGCCTCCTCATCCATGGGGACAACACAGGTGTTGTCAAGGGTTGGTGGAGACACTGTCATCACAACAGACCTGTCAACACCATTTTCAAAAGAATTCATGAATTCATCCATAACCTGCCCAGACACTTCAAGATCACAACTACATACATTTGCTAGTGCCAATAACTCCATAGACAAGCTGTCCCAAGGAATCTACAGATCAACATAGCTTCTTCTTCCCCCCATCAGTTTTCCCACAGAGCTTAATGAATTTATCATCAACACCACTCTACTGCTCTCCCCCACTGAGCTGTGTCACCTCCAGGATGGAAAGTATTCTGTTCCCACAGTTAAATCCATTAATCGAGAACTCACCAAGCAACAAGTGGAACAGTGCACCAGAGTCAATCACCTCGAAGAAGACATTGTCAGTACCCTCAGAGATGAATGACACCAGGAGTCATTCACATTTTGGAGCCCCCCTCCTAAACCACACTGCAAACCCCCCTTCTCTGCTCAAAAGCTACAGAAGAGACCTCACTCCCTGCCCCTCACACCTTCATCCACACTGTCTTGCAAAAGATGGACTAAGAATGTGACACCCAATAGGCACCAACCCAAGGTAAGTACAGCTTGCAGCTGCACCAGCAGAAACCCAAGACAGCAAGATTACATATGCCCAGCTAGAACACATACTTGATGTCATGGGTTTATCCTGGGCACAGTTGACCAAGGAAACCTATGGTGTGGTGTAACAATCATGTTCAGGCTGACCTGCTAGGACCCCATTTTGCAATCCCCATCCAGTCTGCATCTCTCCTACCCATCTCCGATGCTTTCCCACCATCTCTGCATCTCCAATGCATTGGACCTGCTCGGAGATCCTGCGCACTTGCCCTACCATGTCCAGTCCAGTTGCACTTATCCCCACTGATGCATAGTCAGTTATTTCCCATTACTGATTGAGTAGACAGCATTATTACATGGATTCCCACTGGCCACAGTACCTCATGGCCTTTTACCTACATATTATTGGACCCACATTTTTGCTACTACTTTCACCTATGGACTCTAGACTTTCACGTAACTAGTTATATAGGGTTGGGCAACCAGAATTACAATCACCACTTAGTAGGAGAGAGAAATCCCTGATACTGGTCACCCCATACCTGTCCTTAGAGTTACCCTTGCCAATATACCTGTTTACCCACTCTCCTTGACCCAACATGAGTGTCAATCATTCATCTGACATTCCCTAGCATCTCCAATCTAGTCCTGACACATTCCCTCCCTTTCCCTTACTCTCCCACCATCTCAGCATCTCCATACCTGCAGACCCAATTTCCTGCACATCAGACTTCACCCAATACTTTCAGACTTGATCTCTGACCTTCGGACTTTTGACCCTTTGCATAGTACTGATTATTGAACTTGACTAGACAGCAGATCCCTCAGGTTGAACTTTCTTGCTTGCAAGTGTAGCAGCTAGGCAGGATTAGTAGACATATATTGGCTAGGTATTCTAACAACTATCTAGCCAAGTTGTGTTATCTACAGTGGGCTTGCTAGTTTTCCATGTCTTCTGCAACATGAACAGCATCACAGAAGACCAGAGATGTCCAGTCAACCCAATGCTCCTTCTCAGTTTCTTGTCCAGTTGTGCAGGGTCTCATTCAGGCTTGGCTCTTGCCAACTTCACAGTGGCCATCAGGGCCTGGCACCTGCTACATGGCAGGCTCTGGTTGATCTCCCACAGTGAGCTAAAAACCCTACTCAAAGGAGCTAAAGCAGTAGCTCCAGAGTCATCCAAACTACTGAAATGCTTACCATTCACTCCAGACATCCTATCATCCATCCACAACCATTAAACCTTAATGAACCTCTAGATGCTGCAATCTTTGCATGTCTAATGACCTCCTTCTACTGTATAGCACAATTAGGTGAATTTACTGTTAAAACTATCAAAGGTTTCAACCCAAAGAAACATATCTCAAGAGCTGGTGTGTCAGAATCAACAGACCAACATGGTGTGATGATCATACTGGTGCTAGGCATGTATGATCAATAGCATGGTTCTTCTCACCTTCAGGAAAGGAGATAAAGTGTGGATCATTAAATCCATATATATTGACCCATCTGCTCTTACTCCAGTCTGGTCCTAGGAATCCGCCCTCCCATGTCCTATCCATGTCCACCTATCTCCACTGGTGCATTATTTTTCCCAAATGTCATTGCTAAATGAGCTGCAGGTCTTATTACATGTCTACTCATGTTCTGCAGTGCATGATGTCTTATTACCTATAGACTCATCGTGCACTCACTAACTATGCTACAATTCTCACCTATGCATTCCAGACATTCATGTGCTATGATATAAATGACCACAGTACATATGATTGAGTAGTTCCCTTTTCCCTCGGACTCAGCTCTATAGGAGAGTTGTTCTTGCATTATTTTTGTAGACCTTGCACAATCCATCTATTTTGCTCTTTCTTGACAATCCTATGCAATTCAACTGCTCTGAAGTTCCATACCACTAGGATCTTACCCTTAAGCTCTTGCAAGAATACCTGACCCACGACTGGTAGTTTAGTGTAGTTCTTCACTCATACTATATCCCTTGCAACCAGCTGCTCCATAGAGTGCAGTTGATTTCGTGCACATTACATCTGCTGCACCAGCATCTGACATCCAATATGCTTGCACATATCTTCCAATGGTTCATCCCACTCTTGTGATACTAACATCGGTTGATTTTTGCCCGTGCTCATGGTTGATTCTTTGGCATAGAAATTCAAAGGTATACATACAGTCCACATTCTAGTTTCTTAGGTCAACATAGGTTATAACTCCTTTGCTCACTTACTTCCCTCACACATAATTAAAGGAAGTGCTTCAATAGCAGTCCTCTTGGGCCGATCAATTAACTTGTGCCTCTTAGGATAAGTAGTGCTAGTTGCTAACTGCCTAGTTCTTATTTCTTCTTCACAATGGTAACCCCATAACCAAGTTCCATATCCCAAGCACCAAGACCTACACAACCACAGGTGAAGATACATTCTGGGCAACCCAAGATGGACTGTCAGACCCTAGAGCTGTGCTAATCAATCACTTCTGCATGAATCCAGCCCATGATGATGCACTGTTATTTGCATGGAGATACCACAAAGGCATTCAGCCCCTGTCAAAAGCAGAACTTGTCAAAAGAGTAGCCACAGTGACAGTGACCACAAACCTTCCAAACCTTAAAGGACATGGACTACACATCAGAGGAACACTAGAGTACCTGTTGTGGGAAATTCCTTTTGACATTGTAAAGTCAATGGGTAGATGGTCCAGTGACACATTCACTCTCTACCTCAGAGACCATACTCTAATACTCGCACCTGTCATATCTGCATATCCAGATCTCAGATCCAATCCACATCTTATCTCCAATCCTATCCACATCTTATCTCCATCCAACATCCCCTCATCCAATCTGTCCACTCATCCAGTCTGGTCCACAACTCATCTGAATCCACAACCAGTGCTCATCTCCTTTTGGTAACCCCCTGACTCTGGTACTTCAGTTATCTGTATATCCACCCTGCTCACTGATCCATTACCTATGTTTCATTTCCATTTCATTATTAGTGATCTGTTCCTACTTACCAATAGACTATTCATATGCTTTGTACATAGCCTTGGACCCTGCTGATTGATCATTCCATTAGATACCTACAGTATATAACCTCTTGTAAATATCTGTAGCACCTCAGTTCAAATATCATCTTAGTTCTGCTCATTTCTGTCCTCTGGACCTGAGTACCTCTACTCTTGTCACCCTCTGAGACTTAGGATTGATTCCTAAAGTCTACCCGCATCTACCTCTGTCTACAACAGTCCATTACTGATAGTTTCTAGTCTGGACTCATCCGGATTAGTCTTACAATACTTATCTTACATCTGGAAGTCATCCAGATCCACTACACTACTCATCTGACCCTCCAGACATGTTAGTCTTGTCCTCCTGAAATAAGGAGCAATACTCAGGTAAGGTGCACAGCGCATGAGCTGAGGCTGAAGCCCTTAGGATCCATTAGCCCTTGAGTATGACCTTAACAGCACCATACATGCAAGCATTGTCAGTGCTAGAACCATTCACATGCTACACACAGCCCCCAATGCGCTAAGAAAAGTGAGTCTTTCACTCCTAGATTATGGGCATAAAGCTTTGCTATACACATCACTACACTCCTACTATTTGGGAGCACAGCTTACCTTGAAGCCCAGGTTCAGACCCTTGCTTCAGGCTTATACCCAAAACACCAATACTTCCCTCTCCCATCAGCAGTCTTGTCTCTGAGAGTTTGTTCTGAGTTCATCTAGTAGTCACACCTTGTTGTAGCCTTGCGCCATTTCATACCTTGAATTTTATTCCATATTTACAACTACAGAGCAGTGCAGTACATAGAGAAGCAATTACATGACAAGTCACAAACATTGAGACACTTTTTTGAGCCACTGTATTTTAGCATCACTTTGGTGTCTTCAGCTTAGACACACATGTTTCAGTGTTTTACTTGTCTTCTGTCTCACACATTGATGTGCATTGTTGAGGCTCACTTCATCTTGCTTACATGTTTTCAGATCACTTGCACACCTCCAGGCACACAAGTAGCTACCCTGTATATTGAAGCAGCCTACCACATGATTCCAGTTTGGCCCAAGCACAAGTGCTTCCTTGTCATTAAAGTAGATAGTGACCTGTTCATCAATCACATTTTATCATTTGGGCTTTCCATGGCTGGTGGAGTCCAAGGGCATGTAGCAGATGCTATAGTTGATATTCTGCAGTGTATGGATCTTGGCCCTAAATGGGTGGACAACCACACACTCTTCCATTATACCTCAGGTGGAGGCATTTCTCTAGCAAATGGCTCACTTTCTTCTTTCACATACCTTCATGGACTTGTATCATATCCCACAATCTAGACCCACATTCCATCATATTCCCACACCTTCCAAGCCTACATCCAGATCCCACCTCATATCCAACACATTCCCAGTTCTCCCTCCACTGTCTGCTCTACACTATAGCAGGATCAGCTCCACTGTGGAATTACCCCTGAGCTCCAGACCATCAGATCTCCACTACTAGCCTGATCCATATCCCCCTATCCTGTCCACCCTATGCACACTCCATCCAGCAAGATATCTGGACTTCATCTCATCTCAGATTCCAGACTATATCTACCTCCTTATATCCTGGTCCTGTATTCACCTCATCTTTCGGATCCCCAGATCTCTGGACCTCCAGATATTAACTCCAGATATTAACTCCAGATGTATTTCCACCTTCTGTCTGATGTCCTGCACCTATCCCCATTTAGACATCTCTGCCTTTCCAGCTTTTGGTTACCTCTTGTTCCATCTTGCTTATTGATCCTTGTATGAGTCTTCATCTCCAAGTTCATTTACTCATGTTCTATCTTACTTACTAATATATTTCCACATGCTCGTACATAGCCTTGCTCCTTTGCTTACTGATCCCCTCAGATATTTTCTAGTATATAACCCCTGTAGATACTTCTGTAGTTCCTCAGTTTGAATATCATCTTAGACTTTGCTTTACTTGCCTAATCCTCTCTTAGACTTTGGTTTACCTAAGTCTGTCCTATTCATCAGGCCTAGGGATTGATTCCCTAGGCCGGAGCTTTGCCTTTCTGGCACTTCCCCTCTCTCTGGACCTAGGACCAATTCCTGTCTCTCCAACTCTACCTTAGGGTAGTCTACCTCTGTTTGTTTCTACATTGGACTTTGTCTGATGTAGCCCCTATTCCTTCCAGACCTCCAAATGTCCTGTCCTCTTAACCCTTGGACATCCTATCCTCCTGTCCTCCTGTCCTCCTGTCCTCCTGTCCTCCTGTCCTCCTGTCCTCCTGTCCTCCTGTCCTTCTGTCCTTCTGTCCTCCTGTCCTCTGGACCTCCTATCCTTCCATCCTGTTTCCTCTAGAGGTATTACCTTGGGGTCTCTCCACTTCCTGTGTAGTGAGAACTCCTCCAGAACTCTCCCATGTTCCTCCAGATGTTTCCTGCACTCTTCCAGAAATCCTTTGGACTTCATTGGACCATTATTGGACTTCATCTGAAATAAAGGGCACATACTCAGGTAAGGGGCACAGTGTAGGAGCTAAGTCCAAGCCCCTCGGAATCAGTCCCTCTCTCTACTTTGAGTAAACTGGTTCTTAACAACTTGCTAGTGTCTATGCAAAATCCAGACCCCTTTTAGCACTCTATTAAATAGCAAGATTTTACCTTTTTATTCATCTACCTTGGCCTGCTCTAGGACCTTGTCCTTCATACAGTAACCCAACCAGTTGAGAAGTGCAAAAAGTATTTACACAAGCTCACAGACATCCTGTTGAGACTTGCTTCAGGGAGGCACATCTTATTAAACAAAGCAATGAGTATCAATGGCACTCTGTCTCACATCACTTTCATCATCCCAAGAGATCATTCCTACCTTTGCAACCTCAGTGCATTTATCTCAACTTTCCCTTCTTGTTTTAGCTCTCACTACCCTCTACCACCAGTCACTTGAGACCTGAAGTGGTGATTTAACATCCTTTCTTCAACACCAACTCCTCATACCCTTGTACTGCACAGCTCACCACAAGATCTTGACCTTTGGGTTGATGCATTTACAGACTGGGAAATTGGTCTCACTCTAGGAGAGAAATGGGACACCTGGACTCTCAGAGAGGGCTGGAAAGGTCAAGGTTGTAATATCAGTTGGTTGGAAGCAGTCACTGTTGAGCTTGCTGTCTTGACCCTTTTTGAATTAGGCTGGAAGGATGCACTCATTTTGATTCATTCTGACAATCAAGGTGTCATTGGAGCATTCCAACAGGGATGCAGCCAGGACTTCCAAGTCAACCTCTGTATCCAGTAATCAGAAGCAATCACTATATGTTCCAATGTCACCCATGTCCTTACTTATGTTGAATCCATTCAGAATAAGGCTGACTTGATCTCACACAGCAAGGTCGGTCATCCTTCTTCTCACTTGCTTCCAATCATGCTCTCAGAGGAGCTTAGACCTTTCATTTTACCTTATGTCTAATATGCCCCCTACTTGCATGTTGGCCTTTCCCAACAACACAGATGCCTTGGCCCTTCTTCATAAAGCACTTGCTAAGCCTTCACAAGTCAGGGTGCTGCCCAATTCATCTGTTCCAACTCATAGACTCCCTAAACCTAGAAAACCAAAGAAAGGGTGTGAAATCACACCATCATCTTTCAGACCACATGTTCTTGCCAGAGATCACTTGCACCATTGAACGGCTCCAGTTTCAGACTCATTCTATTCTAAACTCATTAGTGAATTTGCTCTTGATGATATCATCCAACTCTTCAATGTCTTGCTCATCTCCATTGAAATGAAAACCCTCTGTGACAATCATATTTCCACTGGGCTCATATAAGTGCTAACACTATTCACATGCCTACCTAGCATGCTCTGGGAATCTGGCGGGCTGTCTCTGGTCTGGTCCAACTCCTAGGTCTCTTATCCTCCCATGTCCTACCTATGTCCACTTATCTCCACTGGTGTGTTGTTAGTCCTGATTTGTTGCTACTCATCAGATGCAGGTCTTATTACATGTGCCCTCATGTTCTGCAGCGCGACATGTCTTATTACCTACAGATTCAATGTGCTGCCACTTATCTCACTACTGCTTTCACCTATGTATTCTGGGCCTTCGCATGCCATGATAAAATACCCTCCAATGCACATAGTTTGATACTTTCCTTCCCTGATCTTCTGCAGGAGTAGAGTAGTCACTTAGTGTCATATCTCAGACTTGTGCAATTGACCTGTTCTTGCTCATTTCTCCTGATCACAACATTCAACCACTCTGAATTCACAGTCACTAAGTTTCTTATACTAGCCCACCATAAAAGCTGAACTGCTGTTGGTAGTTGCTGTTACAACCATGTACGCCCCTATTCATTTTCTCTTCCTTACTGTGTATTATGTCATGAGCTGCATGATGCCGCCGCTAGACCTATCCCTGATTTGTACCTTGTATTACATCACAATCACCATTACCATTGCTAGATGACCTATTCTTGCTATCACTTACGCATCCCTTATCTCTGACTCATTTCATTCTCACGCCTGCCCTAAAGCACAGTAGTTCACTGTAAATGGTCCTCCTGTATGCTTTAGTTCCTTACTTTAATCTTACTAGGTTTTACCTGGGATATCCTTCGTTTGAGATCTCCAATCTCTTGTCGTCTGAATCATACTTTAAGTTAGAAGCACTCCTTCTAACTTAGCTTACATCGAACACTTGACTTATCGTCTTGTGCAGAATCTCAACAGAGGTCGTGACTCTTATTGAGTCATCTGTCGTTAGAACTACCCTAGTTCATAACAGTTGTGCTACACTTAGTTGCTACCTCATTCTCTCTTTCACTGGCTCAGTCCAAGTCCCGCCTCTCTCTCTACTAAACCAAAAGTTTAGTGCAATTAGTAGTCTCATCTAGGATGCTCTCTCAAGTCCAACAAGTATTGATGTGCTATTGTAGCATGCTAATTTTCATAGGTTGCCTTGGATCTTAAGTCCTTCATGCAGTCACTTCCCTTGTGTATTGAAAGAAGTGCTTCAATAGCAGTCCTCTTGGGTCAGATATAATCCTCACACCCTTCGGGATAAGTAGCACTAGCATTTTGTTAAAAGCCTAGTAGCAATTACTTCTTCACACCGCAAAAACTACAGTGCTGGGCTTCTTCATTTCCACCAATTCTGCAACTCTTGGAACATTCCAGAGTCATGTCATATGCCTGCATCAGATAAACTCCTTGCTCTTTTGTCACATCTTGGGCCAGCAAGATTGCCATGACTACAGTCAAAAACTGGCTATCTGGCTTGCATTTTTGGCACAATCTTCATGGAGCCCCATGGCATGGCCATGCTTTGCTGCACATGTCAATTGCCAGTGTTAAAAAAGCTTGTCCCAGAATTGTCAAAATGTCCATGCAGACCACCAGTTACTCTTGAGCACATGCATGCCCTTTTCCATCTTCTTGATCCCCCCAACACTTTTGATGCATCAGTCTTGGTAGTAGCCTCCATTGCCTTTTGGTCTTGTTGTAGGTCAGTACCTTCATCACATCTTTCATTTTCATTGTTATTCAATAATAATTCTAGGCTTGGTGAACTTATCAATTCTCTCAATACCTTCAACCCCACTCACCACACCACATGATCCATAATAATTGTTAAGGTCATACTCAAGGGATAACTGGATCCGAAGGGCTTCAGCCTCAGCTCGTGCACTGTGCCCCTTACCTGAGTATTGCCCCTTATTTCAGGAAGGCAAGACTAACACGTCCAGAAGGTCGGACAAGTAGTGGAGTGGATCCGGATGACTTCCAGATGAGGGATAAGTATCGTAGGGCTAATTTGGACAAGTCCAGACTAGAAACTAATGGTAATGGACTGTCAGAGACAGAGGCGAATACAGATAGACTATAGGAATCAATCCTAAGTCTTGGAGGGTGACAAGAGCAGAGATACTCAAGTCTGGAGGACAGGAATGAGTAGAACTAAGATGATATTTGAACTGAGGTACTACAGAAAGTTACAGGAGGTTATATACTATAGGTATCTAACAGAATGATCAATCAGCAGAGTCCGAGGCTATGTACAAAGCATATGGATAGTCTATTGGTAAGTAGAAACAGATCACAAATCATGAAATGGAAATGAAACATAGGTAATGGGTCAGGGAGCAGGACAGATATACAGATAGCCAATATACCAGAGTTAGGGGATTTACCAAAAAGAGACGAGCACTGGTTGTGGATTCAGATGAATTGTGGACCAGACCGGACAAGTGGACAGGATGGATGATGAGATGTTGGAGGGAGATAAGATGTGGATAGGATCAGAGATAAGATGTGGATTGGATCTAAGATCCAGATATGCGGATATGACAATAATCAATCACATATCACCTTCAAATGGTGTTTCTTGATCAATGTTCTCTATTCCTTGGTCAAAAACATCACTTGGTGCAGGCACAAAAATCATTATGCCTCACATGTTACAATAACATCCACTTGTTTAGCCCCTATTCATTTTCTCTCTCTCACACTCTCATTGGACTCCTTCCTCTTCAGGCAGTCACCCCTTTTCTCTTTCTCAATTGTTCTATATGTATGTTTCTCTTGATTGTTCCACCAACCATTCTGTCAGTTGTACCACTTCATCAGTTCATCCAATGACTCACCAACCCTATGCTCTTACTGCCCAACCGGTACCTCTTACTTACTATGGTATTCTGACTCATCATGACTCACCATGACTCATGTCCCCTTTACCCTTACCACTCAACCAGTACTTTCTACTTACTTTGGTATCCTGACTCATGATGACTCTATTGACATAATAGACACATTCCAGACACATCACCTTTCTTGCCTCTTGCTATGTACTATACAGTACCTTCACCACTCAGCCACAGATCCTCCATAGACCCATATGTACTTGCTTTGCATTTTTCACCACCTCAGCATCATTCAATTAACTGTTGCTGAGGTGAGCATTTCATCTTGTCATGTAGTTGACATATCACTCATGTAACCTAGTCTTCCCTAGGTACTTATTAATCTAGTGTCGTTCTATTAACTGTCACTGAGTCTTCCCTAGACTTCCCAGAGGTTATGAGCCCTGGGCTCTAGCCAAGCCCAGAATTGAAGGAAGTCAACCTTAAGCTCAATGAAATGAATCATGTTCCCCCATTCAAATACTAGCCTCTCATAAATATTATGAATCAACCTGACCATTTTTTTCAATATGGGAAAATACAATCACATCGTTGAATTAATGAGCACAGATGAATATCTGAGCTGGTATTGTGGAGTGGTCCTTGCACTGCAAGGTGAAGGACTATGGAATCATTGCAGTGCCAGGACTGACCCAAATAATTTCTCAGAATATGCCTCTGTAATGCCATCACCTGCCACAGCCAGAAGTCCCACTGCTGCTGAGAAGTTAGCCATGATGGAGTGGATTAAAGAGGATGCCCAGATGAAGGGAATAATATGCAGAAAGCTCTCACTGGTAGTTCAAGGGCTTCTTGACAAATCGTCCACTGCCCATGACCAATGGAATACTCTTGCCATGCACTTTGCATGCCTTGACATGAGCTTGCAGTTTGAGCTTTGTGCACAGCTCTTTGCTGAAAAGCTGAAGGATGCTGACAATGTCTCTTGCTATATTAGTGTCTTTGAACATGCTAGGTGGTGCTTCACTGAAATGGCAATTACCTTTACTGATGACAAAGCAGTATTCCTTCTTCTGCAAGGTCTCCCACAAACTCCAGAGTGGATCATCTTTAAGTGCATGACCATTACCATGTACAGTTCCTCCTCCACTCCCACAACAAGTTCTTCTGCTACAGCCACTGTGAAGATGACCTTCACAACTGTGGCAGCTTCTCTTTCAGAGGAAGCAAACTGTATTCAGGGAGAATGGAAACTGAATGGTCCAGGGTCAGAGTACACTAATGTCACAGGACCTGGGATACCTGATTCAAAGGTGAATCCCAAAACTGGCATCTGCATGCACAAGTCCAACCCCAAAGGCATAGCCCATGATAATCCAGCATGTGTGGGCTTACCTTGTCCATTAACCCATGACCATGAACACTGCTTTCAGCTGTTACAGTCACATACACCCCTATTCATTTTCCTTTCACTTGTATTACATCATGACTGCACAATGCCATTGCTAGACCCATCTTCCATATTTGTATTACATCACGATCGCCACAGCCATCATTAGATGACTCATCTCTTATCTTTGACTCATCTCTCATATTTGTATTACATTGTGATTGCCACAGCTATCGTTAGATGACTCATCTTACTCATTCCTTATCTTTGACTCATTTCTTATCTTTGACTCATTGTTGACTTACGCCTGCCCTAAATCACCTACACCTTATATATAGTCAACAATGTACTTAGTAGTTCCTTACTTTAATCTTACTAGGTTTTCACCTGAATATTCCTTCACTTAAGACCTCCAATTTTAAGTTGTCTGAATCGATATTCAAGACAAAGACACTCTCTTTGTCTTGTCTTACAAACCTTGCATTTGCAAAGGTCTTGACTATAACTTCAGCTGTTGCTCTTATCGAGCTGCTGTTGTTATGACCATCCTAGTTCGTAACATCAGCTAGGTGGTGGGATGGAGGGTAAGGGTGGAAATCCTGTTCATAGCAGGAAGTCCTCCTTGAGAAAGGAAGTTTCTGTAGCTGCCACAACTGATGCACCTAGTAACTCTCTGTCTCCATCACTACCCACTTCCCATACCACAGACCTAGCATGTGCAATCATTCACAAGATTGATGAAGATTCACCAGCCAATTCTCTGCCAAGTGAAGAGAACATTGCCTGCATCATACATTACACAATGTCAACAATCCTCAACTCCAGCATGACATTGACAATAATCACCAACCACAAATTCTTCTGGACCTTCTCCAATGATTCACATGTGACCATGAAAACAGCCAATCATGGCCGCCTCCCTACGTTGGGTCATGGTGAATGCATTGCAGATCTTAAGATTGGGGGCAGGACTTGTTGTATTCAGCTCACTAACTGCCTTCACACACCAGGTGCCATGATAAACCTGCTCTCCATAGGTCATATGGTTGATAAGGGCTGGGCAGTCAATTTCTTGCCTGACCCAGCATGCTGTCAGTTAGTCTGTTGTAGTGATTCACTTGGGGAAGTTTTGATGACCAGCAAACTGGTATTTCTTGATTTGCAGTTCATACACCCAGACCATGCCTCTCCTTTGCCTCCATGTGAGTTGTCTGCCTTTGCACATGTTCCCATTATGTGGGACCTCTGGCATGCACACATGAGACATCCCGGTGGTGATGCTGTCAAATGTCTTCCTCTCATTGTGAAGGGTGTTAATGTCAGTAGCTCTTCTACTCCCTTACAATGTTGCAAATCTTGTGTTGTTGCCAAGCACCCTTGTCAGCCTTACCCCCCTTCTGAAGAACCCAGGGCACAGCATATGCTTGACCTTATTCATTCTGACTTGTGTGGCCCCTTCCCTGTAGTCACACCTCATGGTAAGTTTCATTTCATTATTTTCCTTGATGACCATACAAATCTCCTCAATATGCAACTTTTGGCCAGCAAAGACCAAGCCCTTGGAGCATGGAATGTCATACACACCTGCTGGGAGAACCACTTTGGTTGCACCATCAAAATCTTCAGATCCAATAATGGTGGGGAATTTGTTAATGCTGCTTTCACCTCGGCATTGCAGGATGTGGGCATCAAAAGGCAGCTCTCAGTGCCTTATGCACATCAGCAAAATAGTAAGGCCAAGAGAGCCATCTGCACCTTGGAGGGTCATATGTTTGCCATGTTGGAAACCACTTGTCTCCCAGTGAACTTGTGGGGTGAGGCCATCCTGACCACATGCTATCTGTGGAACAGGTCTGAATCTCATATTCTTCCCCCTGCCATCATGCCTTTTGAGCTCATCAATGGCCATCAGCCAGATCTCTCTCATCTGCATGTTTTTGGTGCTAGATGTTTTGCTCACATTCCCACTGAGCTGCAGACTAAGCTTGGTCCCCATTCTCATCCTGCCATCTTTGTTGGGTACCCTGAGGGCATGAAGGGTTATTGCCTTCATGACAAGGACTCTGGCACATTTTTCATGGCCCAGGATGTCATTTTCGATGAAAACATGCCTGGTATTCCCCATTCCTCTTCCTCAGACTCTGACTCTGATGAGCATGATGGCACTCTCATCAAGCTTCCTCTCTTGCCTGTCACTCCTCCACCACTGGCTTTGCCTCCCCCTGCCTGCAGATCTTCGTGTACATGGGTTCCTACTGCAGCTGGGCGTGTTTACCAGGATGAGCTCACAGCCTCTAAGGCATGACTGGAAACTCTGCAGAAGGAGCATCAGTGTTATGCAGGTGTAGTCTCTAGTGAGGGGGTGCCAGCAGAGTCTCTGCCAGGTGCCTTACCAGCTTCTGAATCTCTGTTAAGAACCATGCTCAAAGGAGAGAGAGACTGACTCAGAGGGGCTTGGCCTCAGCTCATACACTGTGCCCCTTACCCGAGTATGTGCCCTTCATTTCAGAGGAAGTCCAATGATGATCCGATGAAGTCTGGAGGACTTCTGGAGGCTGGCTACTCTGGTGAAGAGTGCAGGAGGACTTCTGGAGGAGTGCAGGAAATGTCTGGAGGAGCGTGGGAGAGTTCCGGAGGAATGTAGGAAGTGCTCAGGAGAGTTCCCACTGCAAGGTAATACTTCTACAGGAAAACAGGATGGAAGGATAGGAGGTCTAGAGGATAGGAGGACAGGATGTCCGGAGGTCTGGAGTATGGAGGACAGGACATGGAGGTATGGAGGATGGAACGTCTGAAGGTACAGAGGGTGGAATGTCTGAAGGTACAGAGGGTGGAACGTCCAAAGGACAGGATGCCCAGAGGTATGAGGGTCAGGATGCCCAGAGGTACAGAAGACAGGAGGTCTGGAGGTCTGGAAGGAATAGGGGCTACATTGGATGAAGTCTGATGTAGAAGCAAACAGAGGTAGACTACCCTAAGGTAGAGTCGGAGGGACAGGAAGTGGACCTAAGTCCAGAAAGAGGGTAAGTGCCAGAAAGGCAAGACTCCAGCCTAGGGAAGTAATCCCTAGACTTGGGACAGAGACATAGGGGACAAATCCGAAGGTCTGGAATTCCGGCCTAGGGAATCCATCCCTAGGCCTTATGGAAAAGGACAAACTCAGATGGACTGAAGTCCAGAAGAAGATTGGGCAAGTCTAAGGTAATATTCAGACTGAGGACTCTACTGTAGTTATACAGGGGTTATATACTAGAGGCTATCTGAGAGGATCAGTAAGCAAAGGAGTAAGGCTATGTATGAGCATGCAGAAACACATTGGTAAGTAAGACAGAACATAAGTAAATGAACTCAGAGATGAAACTAGTACAAGGATCAATCAGCAAGACAGAAAGAGAGATAACTGAGAACTGGAAAGGCAGAGATGCCTAAATGGGGATAGGTGCAGGATCTTGGACGGAGGGTGGGAATGGTCCGGAGATAGTACAGTTAATATCTGGAGGTCCGGAGATCTAGGGATCTGGAAGGCAGGACGGAAACAGGACTGAGATATGTGAGGTGGTGGATGTAGTCTGGAATCCAAGAGGAGGTAAAGTCCAGATGTCTTGCTGGATGGAATGTGCATAGGGTGGACGGGATAGGGGATCCAGGAATGAGTCAGATATGGGGTCTGGAAATAGGTCCAGAAAGCGTGGGAATATGATGGGATCTATGTCTGGCATACAGGATATGACACATTGCTGCAAAGTCAGCACCTGTGGATGGTGATTGACCAGAGTGAAGTCAGGTACTAGGTTCCATAGGATTTGAGATGGGTTTGAGATCTTCAAAACAAAAGTGACAGATGATGGATTCAATGTAGGAATGTTGAGATAAGGAAATGGTATGTTCATCATGGTTTCATGTGACCTTGATTCTGAGTAACCAGTGGAGTTCACTGAGGTCAGTGATTTCCATGTGCTTCCTGATCTGGTCCTTTAGTTCACTTATCTCATCCATGGACTTAGCTGCAAGTGTGCAGTCATCGACATGCACAATGACAATGGTGATTTCTTTGCTCTGCCTCTTCCTATAGAATACTGCTTGATCCACCGCGCACTGCGTAAATCCCAGCTTCTCCACCAAAATCTCTATGAGTCATTGGTACCAGTGCCTACCACTTTGCTTCAGACCGTATAGAGTCTTGCAGAGGCGACAAACTTGGTTTGGGTGCTTGATGGATTCAAAACCTAGGGATTGACACATATAGATAACTTCATCATCAGTGAGTCTTCCATTTAGATAGGCTCCTTTGATGTCAATTTGATGAAGTTCTAGGTTTAGGTGCGCAGATAAGGCTAGGACTGTTCTGATAGAAGATAGGCTGGCGATGGGCACATATGTATTGATGAAGTTGACTCTGGGTACTTGGGAGAAGCCTTGGGCAACAAGGTGAGCTTTGTGGCATACCACATTTCCCACAGCGTCTTTCTTTGCATGGAAGACCCATTTGGAGCCTATGAGGTTAGCACCTGCAGGTAAATCTACAAGTTCCCATGTCCCTGCTGTTTGCAGAGTCGCTAACTCTTCTCTTATACCTTCTTCCCATTGCGCCCAGTCTGAATGGCACTTTGCCTCAGCTAAAGTGCTTGGTTTGAGGGCCTCTGCCTCTGCAATCTTCTCCCAAATCGCCATGGCATGACCAAGAGAGCAAAGTTCACTGTCCGAATCTTCAAGTATGGCCATGAGCTGTTCTACAGTGTTCTCTCCCTTGTTCACTGCTTCTTTGATGGTTGGAGGTGGGATATTCAGTAGTTGGATACCTCTAGGTACAGTACCTATTTCCTTCATTACGTCGAGTACATGCTGACTTGGTTTTTGGACTCATTTAGCGACCATATCAAGAATGGAAGAAGTTGCAAGGATGGGGATCTTGGAGGGAGGGGGTACTAGTGGAGTTCATAGGGCTAATGCTGGCATGCTGGGTGGTACTGTGGGGGTCCATGATGTGGGCATTATCATTGCATTAGGTATGTTATCACTTTCCTCTCCCTCATGATGTAATGGCTCAACATTGGACAGGTCCCAATAAACATTCCATTCCACAGATACCAAGTGCTTGGCAGGCCAATACACCCTGCACCCATTTGCACTCCCATCATCAATGTCTACCCATCAACCTTCAGCAACTCTGCCACCGAGTTTGCTACCATTCTCAATGTGCACCCAGACACAGGATCCCCAGGGACAGATATGATGGAGATCAGGCTTCTTTCCAGTGGCTGCCTCAAGGGGAGTACTACCTTCAAGTGCCTTGGTGGGAGTATGGTTTTTCAACCAAATGGCATGTCAAACAGCTTCTTCCCACAAGTTGTGTGGGCATCCACTTTCATGCAACATTGCTCGAACCTTCACTAGTAGAGTTCAGTTAAGCCTCTCAGCTACCCCATTATGCTGTGGGGTGTCATGCACAGTGAGTTTCTGCTGAGTTCCAGCAGCCTTGAGATGGTTCACAAACTCCTTGCCTAGGTATTCCACACCCTGGTCTGAGTGTAGAACCTTAATGTTGGCATTGTGCTGGTTGTGGCACCAGGCTTCAAAGTCTCAATATGCACTGAGGGCTTTGCTCTTGTGATGTAGAAGGTGGAGGTAAGTGAGTCTTGTCTTATCATCTGTGAAGCTGATATAGTAGCTTTGGCCCCCTAGAGTAGCAACTGGTGTGGGGCCCCACAAGTCAGTATGGACTTCACCTGCAAATTATTTGGCATGTTCTCCTTCACAGATCTTAGCTATTGGTTTCTATGTAGCTTTTGTGTATATGCAGGATTCACAAAAGGTGGGTTCACCTGAAGATAGGTCAACTTTGATACCAGAAACAAGCCCATTCTCAGCTAGGCAGTGTGCAGTGGATGGTGAAATATGCCCCATCCATTTGTGAAGTTCCATTACAGTAATGGCCTCCACTGTGGCATTCACACTGTGGCTATCAGATGGATGGATGACTTGATATAATCCACACCCTGACTTAGGAATCTGCCCTACAACATCATCTGTAGGGTCTCAAATGGTACAGGTACCATCAGCAAAGGTGATGGAGTACCTGAGCTTGTCGAGGCGGCTGATTGAGACGAGAGTATAGCCAACAGCAGGAGAGTAAGGAACTTCAGTGAGTGTCAATTTGGACACATCAACACCATTTGGGACCTCAATAATGAGTTCCCCAATGCCAGTGGCATCAAAATAGTGCTTGTTTGCAGCAGCAAACATTTTTGGTGGAATGGGTGTCAAGGTTCTGAATTGGTTGTGGTATGGGGAGGTATGTTTCATCATACCAGAGTCATAGAGCTTGACAGTGGTGCCATTACCATGGTCCTTAATGACTTCAGCAGTGATCTCAATGGATAAGTCAGTGTCATTTCCACTGCTAGGGACTGCTATGTCAGTTTCCCAATTACTCATTAATGGTACATCATTTTTATCTATGTCCAAGAACCAATCTTCATTAGTGCTGATGAAGTTTGTCCATTCTTTGTTGTTGTCATCTGATGATTCAGTGGAGAGCAGACTAGGGATTGAGTAGGAGGACTTGCAATTGACTGCAAACACAGCATCATCCTCGGAATCATCATTGGCTGCTGCATTAGCAGAGCCCATGGTGCCAGTGTTACCACTCAGTGTCTTCTAAGGCTCTGGGCATTGACCTTTAAAATGCTCTCGTGAGCTACAGTTCCAACAGGGCAGGCGAGGTCTGTTGCCTCCACCTCGTCCCCCTTGGTGAGACCCTCTATGGCCTCCCCTGCCTTGACTATGGGATGACAAGTCCATAGCTACCATAGCTTCATCAGTGCCTTGGGTTTTGGCACCTTGATTGCTGTGACACTTGGATTCATCAATGATTATCAAGATTAAGACATTGGGGTTAATAGTTTGAGTTGGACTATAGAGCCAATGAAGGTTCAACAACTCTGCTGGCTTGCAGGACAATAGAAAGAAAAATGCCTCTACCTCTGGGGTGAGAGGAAGGCTACTGACTCTCTAGGTGTTGGTCAAAGTGTACCAAGCGATATGTTCAACCCTTAAGGGAAGCAAGGAAAGCAAGGATCCATGAAGTGATGCTGGGTCAACTCTGGTGAAGCACAATGAGTGCGTGTGCATAGGAATGTGGAGCACGTAGGTGTGCGAAGCGTGGGAATAATGTGCAAGTTGTGTGTGAATGTATAAGAAACTGGTAGAAGTCATGAAGGTGTGAACTGAGGCTGCTGAGTGGAGACTGATGATAGTAGACTGTGCTGATGGCTAGGGTGACAACTAATGCATACTGGCTGAAGATGATAGATTCTAACTCTAGACAATGACTACTGACATGCTAAGTGACATGATGGTGGTTGGTGTATTGAAAACTTCCCTAGGCAACAGGTAAGCTGTGCCTAGGTGCGCTCCCAGGGCTCAGAAGTGAATAGGGAGCACTCTAAGTATGTAAGTGATGTAAGTAAGGGTCCATGATGAAATAATGTCATGCAGATACTAAATATGGTCTGATAATGAGAATAAACAAGAAAGGACTCACTAGGGAACTGGTTGGACAATGGATGGATGCTCCCAGATGCTGCATGACATAAGGTGACCAAGTGTGGGAAGAGTGTGTGAATGCATCGTGTGGTGTGGGAAAGTGTCGCGCCTCTGGTGCATTTTGTGAGACAGTTATAGATAGTGAGTTATGCCCTGTACCAATCATTGTGAGTCAAAATATGGGCAATATATGCCTGGAGGAATCTTGTTCTCTACACCAAGCTGTAGTAAACTGTCCTGAGGTGAAGCCTGCAAGATGGTTGGGGAGAGATTGGATTATAGTTGACTGGTAATCCTTCTCATCTATCTGAACTCCTACTGCTGACAACTCATCCCTCTTTGCACGCAGTTCATCAAGGAATGTGTGTACATCACCTCTGCCTGGACACTTTGACTCTAGGAATTTTGTCCAGAGATCTGTCTGTGCATAAGCACCCTTCTCAGTGTATTCACACACAATCTCATTCCACATTGTGACAATGTTGGGTAAGTTCTGTACATGTAATGCAGTAGAGTCAGGGATATGCTGGGTAAGCAAGTGTTTGGTAAGGTTTTTGTGTTTCTGCCATTGAGCAAGTGCTACAGGGTCAGGAGGTGATACAATGGTTGTTCCTCTGGTTGTTGTCAATGGGCTGACAGGCTTTGGGTTAGTCCCATCGAACTGCTTCCATAGATCCTTCACTTCAATAGCAATCTGGAAGCATAGTGAGAAGATCGCCCAGTTGGTTCCTTTGATATCAAGCTTGGGTACATTGGTGGGAAGAGTATCCATTGTGATGGGCACAGTAGTAGACATCGTGTGTAGCAGCTTTCAGTAGTCAAATGTGGGACATGGGGTTAATTAGAGCTCAGGGCTCATAACCTGAAAAGATAATACAGCTCGTGTGGGTCTAGATTAAGTAGACACTCTTTGGAAAGTAAGTATAGGTGAAGTAAAAGTAAAAGTTAGGTATCTTACCTCAGAACATGCATGCAAAAGCAAACATCTGAGGTTATAGCTCGAATACAAGGTAGCTTAAATAGACCCAATGATCTTGTATGTAGGTGAGACAAGAAATAAAGTAAGAAACAGCACTGGCCCAACATCAGCAAAATCATAAAAACTCTTAGTCAACTTATCTTGCTTATTTTAACTTGAAACAATATTAAGTGCACCAAGTTATCTAAGAAGATCATTTCTACTTAATTTCTACTTAGAGAATTCTTCACAAAGGAAATGTAAGAAAGAAATAAAGCTAATGCTGCAAATCAAGTGCAATTCAGAATTTTAAGTAGGCAGGTGATGATAAGTGAAATTTGAGATCTACTAAGTGGTAGACTCACTCAGAGTGTCATTACTAAGCAGAAAACATAAGTTGATTTCAGCTAAACAATACTAAGTACTAAGATAAGTCAATGCGATCTCATATGCATGGTGATCAATGAAATTGTTGACATAATACATGCAAAAAGCATTGAGTGTCTGTGAGTAAGTGAGATTGGTTGGCACAAAGTCACCCCCAAATACTGGAATAAGGTGGGCTGCACAAAATATACTATCAAGGTGGATGACAGATACACAGTGTGCTCCATCTTCCAGAAGCTCCAGCTCTCCAACCCACATTCCCATAAGTTCATCTGGGGAGTCAGCCACACATTTGAACCATTGTACAAGTGCACAAGGGTATGTGATACCATCATGCTTCAAAGAAAAAAATAGTCTCACTCAAGCAATGTTGAGGCCACACATGCCATTGGCAGACAAATCAGTGCTAACAAAGATGCAATCATAGCACCCAGGGCCATTTCTCCAGGTATCTACAGCACAAATACACTCATAGCGCATACCACCAATCCCTGATAAATCACTAAGAGCAAAGAAGGTGGCCACAGCTGAAGTGTACAGTGTGATCTTTTCATAGATCTCAGGAAGTGCAGACTAGGATGAGTCAGAGCTAGATGAGTCAGAGTTAGAGCAGCATTGGTCACACAGAAAATGCTGAATCAAAGTTGTGAAGTTGGGTTGACCTATCTGATCTGCAATGAGCTCTGGGTAGATCCATTTGGCTGTAGTAAAGTGTATGGTAAGCAGAAGCATGCAAGTATGTACAAAACTACTTACCAGCTGTCTTCACCAGGTCAACATGGGCAAGTACCATTGGCCCATCAACAGCATTGGCATCAGGCTCAGCATTGGTTTTACCCTCATCCTCATCTGCATTACCTTCGGCATCATTAGTTGCATGATGGTAGCACCCAAAAGGCTCATCCTGTTCTGGGATATCTTGTTTGATGTGTGCTTCCAATGGTGCATTTAGTATCCCTGCGAATTGTGAAGGTGGTGATTAGCATTGGCGAGCCCAGCATCATGAAAATCACATACCAAGTTTGTTAAGGATGTATGACAAACACATCCCTTGTAGCATCCTGTGGTCAAAAAAATTGACGCATGAAGCAGCTAGCTTGTCAAGATGTTGATTGGTTAGTAACATTTGACTGAGAGCTTCGAAACAACTCAACCAGCACCATGGCTCCTTGACAGCTTTAATGTGTTTGGAGTCTGTAATAGATGAACAAAGCCCATTTGGTGCACTGAATGCTTGAATGAGCTTATGGTAATGGATGAGTGAATGTTATCGAGGGAGATTAAATCCTTTGGGCTGAACACCAGATGTTTGGAATATCTTGTGGTACCTGTGGAAATGCTTCAAGGTGTCATCCATTGCATCGAGGCTGCTAGAGCTGATGATGTTGCAATGAGCAATGTAGATGAAGTTGAGTAGCACTCACAAGGCCTGTACCATCTCTGTGGGTACATGACCTTCAATAGCAGGTATTGTTAAGAACCATGTTGCTCAAAGGAGAGAGAGACTGACTCAGAGGGGCTTGGCCTCAGCTCATACGCTGTGCCCCTTACCCAAGTATAGGCCCTTCATTTCATATGAGGTCCAATGATGGTCCGACGAAGTCCAGAGGACTTCCAGAGGAGCATGGGAGAGTTCCGGAGGAATGCAGGAAGTGTTCAGGAGAGTTCCCACTGCAAGGTAATACTTCTACAGGAAACAGGATGGAAGGATAGGAGGTCTGAAGGTCCAGAGGACAGGAGGACAGGAGGACAGGAGGACAGGAGAGCAGGATGATGGAGGGCAGAACGTCCAAAGGACAGCAGGTATAGAGGTCTGGAAGGAATAGGGGCTACATCAGACTTTGTCCGATGTAGAAGCAAACAGAGGTAGACTACCCTAAGGTAGAGTCGGAGAGAACAGGGATTGGACCTAAGTCCAGAAAGAGGGTAAGTGCTGGAAAGGCAAAGCTCCGGCCTAGGGAATAAATCCCTAGGCCTGATGAGTAGGACAGACTTAGGTGGACCAAAGTCTGAGAGAGGATTGGGCAAGTCTAAGTTGATATTCAAACTAAGGAAACTACAGGAGTATCTACAGGGGTTATATACTGGAGACTATCTGAGGGGATCAGTAAGCAAAGGAGCAAGGCTATGTACGAGCATGTGGAAACACATTAGTAAGTAAGACGGAACATAAGTAAATGAACTTGGAGATGAAGACTTGTACAAGGATCAATAAGCAAGATGGAAGAAGAGGTAACTGAAAGCCAGAAAGGTGGAGATGTCTAAATGGGGATAGGCACAGGATATTGGACAGAGGGTGGGAATAGGTCCAGAGTTAATATCCGGAGGTCCAGAGATCTGGGGATCCAGAAGACAAGGTGGATACAGGACCAGGATATGAGAAGGTGGATATAGTCTGGAATCCAAGATGAGGTGAAGTCTGGATGTCTTGCTGGATGGAGTGTGCATAGGGTGGACAGGATAGGGTGGTACAGATCAGGCTAGCAGTGAGGATCCAGAGGTCCAGAGCTCAGGGGTAAATCTGGAGTGGAGTCAATCCTACTAAGGTGTGGAGCACACAGTGGAAGGGGATCTGGCAATGAGTCAGATATGGGGTCCGGATGTAGGCTTGGAAGGCGTGGGAATATTATGGAATGTGGGTCCGGATTGTGGGATATGACAGGTATTGTCATATCCGCATATCCAGATCTCAGATCCGACCCTTATCTCATCTCAGATCCACATCTTATCTCCGATCCTATCCATAGCTTATCTCCCTCCAACATCTCATCATCCAATCTGTTCCACTTGTCCGGTCCAGTCCACAACTCATCCAAATCCACAACCAGTGCTCATCTCCTTTTGGTAACCCCCTAACTCCGGTATTTTGGTTATCTGTATATCCGTCCTGCTCCCTTATCCGCTACCTATGTTTCATTTCCATTTCATGATTTGTGATCTGTTTCTACTTACCAATAGACTATCCACATGCTTCGTACATAGCCTTGGACTCTGCTGATTGATCATTCCGTTAGATACCTATAGTATATAACCTCCTGTAACTTTCTGTAGTACCTCAGTTCAAATATCATCTTAGTTCTACTCATTCCTGTCCTCTGGACTTGAGTACCTCTACTCTCGTCACCCTCTGAGACTTAGGATTGATTCCTATAGTTTATCTGCATCTGCCTCTGTCCCCGACAGTCCATTACCATTAGTTTCTAGTCTGGACTTGTCTGGATTAGCCTTATGATACTTATCCCTCATCCAGAAGTCATCCAGATCCGTTACGCTACTCGTCCAACCTTCTGGACGCGCTAGTCTTGCCTTCCTGAAATAAGGGGCAATACTTGGGTAAGGGGCACAGCGCATGAGCTGAGGCCGAAGCCCTTCAGATCCAATTACCCTTGAGTACGACCTTAACAATGACCAAGGTTTGAAACCAAGGTATGGGTTGACTAGCCTGATGCCTAAGCTCACAGGCTTTGTCTTTTAGGGGGGCTACCTAGTAGTCATGGCCATGCATGATTCCCAAATCATGCAGGACATCCATGGGGCAGTCAAATCACAACTGTCCCCAGTTGTGTGCTCAATCAAGCATTATTGTATAATTTTGACACATAATCATGGAATCTGGCTACCAATTGTGGTTCAGGAAGGATTTGCCAAGTACCCTCTCTTTTTATTTTTATTTCTTTTGATATTGTCTCTATGATCATGCACACTCATCTTTTGACAGTGTGCATCTGCACAGAAATTTTTGTTGTGGACATTCATTTATCCCACTCACTAAGTTTATGCAAGCATACAATCCATATGATGCATTTCCATAGATTATGGGAGGGTGGGTTGGGTTATAAAAGTCAATCACTGTCCATGACTAACTCATCTTCACTTGGTTCAGTGGCACTTGGCTGGGATAATTCTTCATCTTCCTCTTCAAGGGGGTCTGCTAGTGATGGTAATAATGATAAATCCCTAGAGATATATGGTACAAGTCTAAATGCAGCTACACCACATTTAGATAAGATACCATTCATTTCTCTTAGGACATAAGATCCTCCCCTGGTCTGTCTTTCTATGACGGGCCTAGATACTGAGGTTTTGTTTTTCGATTAAGTTCTTGCTCAATCCTTGTATTTCTTACAAGGACCAAGTCTCCTTTCTTGAAAGTTTCACATTGCATTTGTAAACCAAACTTATGTTCAAATTGAGCTTTGGACTTAAACTGAGCCTTCTTCAAGGTCTTTGCAGCACGGTCTATGTCTTCCTGCCGCCTTTTGATTTGGCGGATATGTAGGGATAAGAATTCTGCTGGGTTCATATTAGCATGGAATCCTTCTACCATGAAGGTTGCTTCTGTTAAATCAAAGGGTAGAACAGGATGAACTCCATGTAATAGATAGAAGGGGGACCATCCAGTCATGTGACTAGTGGTTATGTTTTCTGCAAACAAGGCCTGCCTAACTTTCTCAGGCCATTTTGTAATATTCTTTCCACAACTTTTTACTATAGCTTCTCTTATATTGAAATGCCCATGTTCAACAACTCCATTGGCTTGGGAATTGTAAGGGGAAATAGTCACATGGGGAATATCAACACACATGAGGAGTTGGTCAAATGCTCCTCTAACTTTGGGTCCATTGTCAGTCACAACTTGACCAATGGCTCCATATCTGCAATACAAATCCTTCCAGAAAATCTTTGCCATAGCTTTGGCAGAGGGGGATCGTAAAACTCTTCCTTCAACATAGCGAGATAAATCATCTCTAGCAACTACAAGATTTTTGTGGCCTACAGCTGAAGGCATCTTCATAATATCCACATAGATCTTGACAAATATGGTTGCAGGAGTAGAAACAGTAATAGGGATATGCATCTTCTTGACACTTCTAACTTGGCAGTCATGACAGGACTGCACATGGTGTTTCACATCAGTGTACAAGTGAGGCCAATAAAAATGATAACGAATAGTCTCAAATGTGGCTTGTACACCTTTATGTCCTAGTTCTTCATGAGCTTTAAGAAGTATTAATGCTCTCTTCTTAGCATCAAATACTACAAGAAGAGGGGGTCATCCAACTAGTTTTTTAAACATCTGGTCACCATGGACAAAAAATTGTGTGGCCCGGTTAACAAATTTTCTATGCTGGCCAGTCCATTCAAACTGAGGTGACTCCAAGGTGCTGAGGAATTTGAAAATTTCTCTCAAAGTCTTTTCTTGACTAGTTGTGGAGGCTAGGATAGATGGTAGGTTGGTTGGTTCATAGGAATGAGGGAGGATAGGAAGTGATAATGAATGTGATCGGTAGCATTCCTGAGATATTCCAGAAAATAGGGCTATGTCATCTAGCCAGGAATCTTCATCAGGCTGTATTTCTTCATCTTCTGCTAAAGGTCTTCTGGATAGTGCATCAGGACCTTTGAAACGTAAAGCAGGAACATGAACTAGGGTGAAATCGAATAGGAGTATTCCTTGAATCCAACAGTTGATGGTGGCATTGGGTTGTAAATCAGGTTCATTAAGCATTCCTTTGATGTATTTTGCGTCAACTTCCACAATCAAAGTCTGTACTCCAATAATGTGAAGCTGGAAATGCCTAAGTGCATGGTAGAGTCCATAGAGTTCTAGTTTTGGTTGGGAATATCTTGATTCTGTGTCACCCATTGGTAGTGAACCATAATGGGCTGGTCTTCTTCTTCCTTCATCATCTATCTGTGACAATATGATTCCCACTGCCATACAGTGGCTCAAAAAACTGTTTGCATGTTTTGACATTTTTCACTATCTATGATATTGTGTGAGAATGAACAAATGGCTCAAGGACATGGTTATACCACATTGTAGTATGGCTTCAGGGCTTTCATTTGAGCCCTACACCGTGTGAATCGGTGGAGATATGGTGGAGACATAATGCTTGTAAAATGATGACTCATGTGGACAGTTTTTTGAGTGTATATTAAAACTATATAAATCATTATTTATGACACCACAAAAATCATGCCACTATTATATAAATTATGAAGTGGTGTCATTATGTTATTTTATGACTATATCTAACTATATAAACCAGAATATCTCATGTATCATAGTCATAATCACCATGAAAGCCATCTCCTCTGCTCAAAGAGATAATATCCTCTCTCTGTCTTATGCTGGCCTCTCTGCTCACCAAATTTCCTCTAGAACTGGAGTATGCAAGTCCACTGTGGCCAAGTTTATCAAAGAAAGCCACCCAGACAAGGAAAACTCTTGTGGAGGACATCCATCCAAGCTTACCTCTACTGACAAAAGGGCTATTATCCAACATATCACTACAGGAAAGGCTGATAATGCTGTCCAAGCCACCCATTATATCAATTCCACCATCACTACCCCTGTCTCTTCACAAACTGTGAGGAATGTTCTCAAGGCAGCTCATCTCAAGGCAGTAACAAAGAAGAAAAAGCCTCTTCTCTCCATCAAACATAGGCAGAGAAGACTAGCCTTTGCCTTAGCTCATCAACACTGGACTGTAGAGGACTGGAAGCATGTTATATGGTTAGATGAGACCAAAATCAATAGGATTGGGTCAGATGGGAAGGTATATGTATGGAAAAAGAAGGGAGATGGCCTAACAGACAGAGAGGTTAATGGGACTGTCAAGTTTGGAGGAGGTTCTTTAATGGTATGGGGCTGTATGGGATGGAATGGTGTGGGAATGCTTGCTGAGGTTGAGGGGAAGATGAATGCTGAGCAGTATGTGGACATTTTAAATGACCACTTGCTGCCTAGCTTGGCAGAATCAGGGATTGATGAAGAAGATATCATTTTCCAACAGGATAATGATCCCAAGCACACATCCAGAAGAGCTAAGGAATGGTTTGAAGAACATAACATCAATGTTCTTGACTGGCCAGCACAGTCTCCTGATGTCAATGTCATTGAACATCTCTGGGGAACACTCAAGAAAAAGCTTCAAGCATATGAAAACCCCCCTAAAGGAGTATGGGAGCTTTGGGAGAGAGTAGCAGTGGAATGGGGGAAGATCACAGCTGAAGATTGCCAGAAATTAATTGAGAGTATGCCTAGAAGGATAGAGGCAGTAATTAAAGCCAAGGGAGGTCATACAAAATACTAGAATACCTGGTTATTATTGTAAAATACTTGAGTCAAAAAACTGTCCACATGAGTCACCATTTTGTGAGCCTTGTATCTCCACCATATCTCCACCGATTCCCACGGTGTAGGGCTCAAATGAAAGCCCTGAAGCCATACTACAATGTGGTATAACCATGTCCTTGAGGCATTTGTTTGTTCTCACACAATATCATAGATAGTGAAAAATGTCAAAACATGCAGACAGTTTTTTGAGCCACTGTATATAATACATATTTCACCGCCCCATCGGCCCACCCATCTATCTAATATACCCCCACCTCGGCCCACCCATCTACAAAATAATACTAATATGTTGGCCCACCTGTCTATATAATAATATCTGCCATACATCTCTCTTCAGCCCAGCTGTCTATCATATATGTCTATCCTACTCTACATATTGCCCAGATGGGCCCACCCATCTCCATTGGTAATAATATTTCTCCTGGCCCATCCACCATCATTGAGGATATTTATAACATTGGCATCAATGGGCCCACCCATCCCCATTGGAAATAATATCCCTCCTGGCCCATCCGTCATAGTCAGGGATATTTTTACCTACAGCCCATGGTCCACTGGCCTGTATTATACAGGATATTATGCATGTTTGTTCACTCATATAATATGGAGATAGGTCACTGCAATATGTGTACTTACACCAGCAGATGCACCACACCAGCAGATGGTCTTGATGAATGCATGTATGGCCAATGTTCCCACAATCACACCAAAGTTTTGGTTAAGGAATTCGAACTAGGTGTTCTGTGGGATGAATATGGCCTTGTTGGAGACATTGTGGTATGTACAATACTCTATCTACTTGTCTCTTTTGAACTTACACTATTTATACAGCCATTCACTAACTACTTTCCACATGCTGACATACACAAGCTCCTTTCCCCAGAGATCTTACACCAGCTCATCAAGGGAGCATTCAAGGACCACCTAGTTCAGTGGGTGCATGACTACATTGAGGCTCAATATACAGAAGCCAATGCGAACAGGATACTGGACAACATTGACCATCGGTAAGTTTATCTTCAAATTCACTTAGCTGCTGCTGCTGCTGAACATGTGTCACACTACTAGCATCACTCTAGCTCCAGTGTTTGCAGGCCTTTGACAATTTCCAGAGGGTAGAGGATTCAAACAGTGGACTGGTGACAACTCAAAAGCTCTCATGAAGGTCTGTACTGATATTCCTCTATTTTTTCATAGCAACAGTACTAATATTTCTAATGCACGTTTACTGCACAGGTCTATATACCTGTTAAGGTCGTACTCAAGGGTAATTGGATCTGAAGGGCTTCGGCCTCAGCTCATGCGCTGTGCCCCTTACCCAAGTATTGCCCCTTATTTCAGGAAGGCAAGACTAGCGCGTCCAGAAGGTTGGACGAGTAGCGTAACGGATCTGGATGACTTCTGGATGAGGGATAAGTATCATAAGGCTAATCCAGACAAGTCCAGACTAGAAACTAATGGTAATGGACTGTCGGGGACAGAGGCAGATGCAGATAAACTATAGGAATCAATCCTAAGTCTCAGAGGGTGACGAGAGTAGAGGTACTCAAGTCCAGAGGACAGGAATGAGTAGAACTAAGATGATATTTGAACTGAGGTACTACAGAAAGTTACAGGAGGTTATATACTATAGGTATCTAACGGAATGATCAATCAGCAGAGTCCAAGGCTATGTACGAAGCATGTGGATAGTCTATTGGTAAGTAGAAACAGATCACAAATCATGAAATGGAAATGAAACATAGGTAGCGGATAAGGGAGCAGGACGGATATACAGATAACCAAAATACCGGAGTTAGGGGGTTACCAAAAGGAGATGAGCACTGGTTGTGGATTTGGATGAGTTGTGGACTGGACCGGACAAGTGGAACAGATTGGATGATGAGATGTTGGAGGGAGATAAGCTATGGATAGGATCGGAGATAAGATGTGGATCTGAGATGAGATAAGGGTCGGATCTGAGATCCGGATATGCGGATATGACAGTCATATAGTTCAGTTTCCCCTCTGTGATTCATGAATTTATAGTCATTTGTGAGATGGGAATCACATAATGACCTAGTTGATATTGTGAAGCAATAAGAAGGTTAAGGTATTGCCTTGCCTTTGGCTTATTCACTTTGGCTAGAGAAAACCATAGAGAAAAGTTCAAAGCCTAACAAAAAAAACCTATCTAAAAAGCCTGTGTTTTGTGTCTTCTTATTGTGTTATTATTTCTGAGTTGTTTTCTCTAGTATTTCCTTGATTTATTTTTCTATTGGGATGCTCTGACCCATCAGATACTTCACAAAATTGTACCTACAGGGTATGATGTCATAATGATGTCATATGGCTCCACAGATACTCCTGCAAGTATTCTGTTGAAAGTTATGATGTCATGATGATGTCATGATGATGTCATTTGTTCTGGAATGTTCTGCTCCACTTTCTGGAATATTCTGCTCCACTTCTGATGTCATTGCTCCGCTTTTTTACTTACATAATATTCCCACACAAAATGTATATAAGGAGGGCCCATTCTCCCCCCAAAAAAATAGGTTCTCCCACTTGCAATCATTTGAATCTCAGTTTGAGCTACTCACTGTGAAGATTGTTGCTTACAAAGAAAGCCCCTTTGAAGTACCAAGTGCAGGGAAAAGACATTCCCTTGAGATTACATAAGTTTCTTACAATAGAAACTTAGTTTATTTGTGAGACCAGCTTCTCACCTAGTTTCTGATATTGACCAATGCGAGCTTTGGTCAATCTGTTCATTTGTGAGACCAGCTTCTCACCTAGTTTCTGATATTGACCAACATGAGCTTTGGTCAATCTGTTCATTTGTGAGACCAGTTTCTCACCACTTTGTGCCTATTTGACCAACCAGTCTTTGGTCAACATATTCGTATTTGAGACTGTAGTCTCTACAGAGAATTATTTTAACGAGGAACCATGTTCCAGTGTCTAGACAGTTTATCCTAGACAAGTTTATAAGTTGGGATATAACACAAAAGCTCCAGCTAAGTTAATCACATAGATTGGTTTAGCAAGCCTCCCAAGAACTCACATGTTATCTACCATGAAAGAAGAAAAGTTGTAGACCATGTTAATCGAGGACTGGCAAGAAGTCTTATCCTAGTGTAATTGTGGTGTCATTACATTTTACACGCATTTATATAAGACCCTCAGTTATTAAGACACCGGTTTGGCAGGAGTACACACAGGAACAGTTCAGTGAGTGTTTTAACTCTGGCTACTAGAAGGAATTTGTTGATCATCATGATGATAGGTGCCAGGGCACAGGATGGAGGACAACAGATGAAGGGAGGTCGAAAAAGAATCGGAAAGCCTGCTTTCAAACTGGAAACTGACGGAGATGGGATGCCATTGCTTCCAGACATCACTGAAATGAAACTCAAGGAGAAGAAGGCCATAGTGAGGGCATTTCTTACATCGCACTATCGTGAGTCTATCGTCGCAACACCTGAGAATTTGTTGAATGCATGGACACAAGGATCTGTTCTAGGAGCAACAAGGCAGTCATGCCATAGAGCGCCATCATACAAAGTCATGATGACTTTGTGGCAAGGAAGTATGTTCCGGCAGGTGTGGACTTGAAGGAGCCTTCAAAGTCGCAAAATTGGGACACTACAGCCTTACTCAATTTCTGGCATGCTCAGCAGGAGAAAGGCAAAGGACCAACATTCCTGTTCAAAGCATGGAAGAACAAAGATGGAGACATGGTAGCATTGGTTGTGTCTGGGAATTTGCCTTCTCATTGGACTCATAAAGTCAGAAAGCAGATGATCTGAAGGCCTCAGAATTCATCAACCAACACCAAGAGCGATCCCAGGAGTAATCCCAAGAGTGACTCTGATCACATGGAGGATGATGTTGATGATGATGCAGCTGATGGTAGATCCCCACAAAAGAGACCCAGAAGAGAGCCAGGTCCTTCAACAGCACATGAAGGGACAGCAGTCCCATGTGCAATTCCAAAGCCTTGCCCAGTCAAGCCGGCGAAAACTGGTGCACTGCTGACATCACAAATGGGTGACCTCCTGGCTGGGTTGACTGACAGAGTCACTGGCAATGTTGAGGAGGATGTTGGAATGGAAGGAGGGCACATGTCTCCAATGCCAAAAAACATGTGGGGAAAAAAACCAGTGATTGAGCCATCAGCGAGGACAACCTGGAGTAAATCAACTCAACAAAGAGCAAGGGGAAAGAAGTAATGGACTGATACTACACTGCCTGCCTTTATGTACATGTCAATGTTATTCAATCTTCATGGCTCAGGAGTCCCGGGTGTCAAACATGGAAGTGTAAGTCTCACTTTGGCTCACCAAGTCCTGAGTGTCAAACACTGAAGTTAAATTCTCACTGTCCAGAGGATCACCGAGTCCCAAGTTTGATTCAAAGATTGAATTCAGGACTCAGTGATCCTCTGGACAGCAAGAATTTAACTTTGGTGTTTGACACCCGGGACTTGGTGAGCCAAAGCGAGACTTAAACTTCCGTGTTTGACACCCAGGACTCCTGAGCCTCCAGAACTCAATTGGAAATGGAAGAGGAATGCGTCGCAAATTCAGTTGTTTACACGATGTGGGTATGTTAATGAAAATTCAGAAGTTTACATGTGGTTTGACTACTATCAAACATTTGGTACTTTACATTTGAATCTGATCTTCAAACTGATTGATCAGTGAATCTACTACCTTGAGCATTTCAATGCTCATCCATTGGGCTCTTTGCAACCTCTGGAGGTCCGCATCAGCTCTTCTGAGTTTGTTGGAAGTTTCTGCCCAAGCCATCTGGAAGGGTCACTTGGCCTTGAGTAGCAGTGGAATGGAAGGATCAGGAAGATCCCCGGTATGGTGTTTGTAATCACCAAGTTGATCTTGAACAGATTGCACTTGCAGACAAATTAGCACAGAGATAAATGATCTGCTTGGTCAGATACTCACACCCGGTGTGTTCATATGACCTGAATGGTCAGAACTCCCAGGCCATCGAACGTAAATCTTCATTAGTGAGCTCCAGCTGCTCTGACTGAAGTTCATTAGAGGTGTCATCCACTTGGGAGATACAATAAGCATCTATAATCCTCTGGAATGAATGGACTCACATGACATAGACGCTTCTGATGCAGCCGGAACATCAATCTTAGGATCAGCAGAATCTGGCAACTCATCCACATCAATGATATCACCCTCAGGCCCAAGGTACAAGTCTGGATCGATGAGAAAACCTGGATGATCAGCTTGAGCCAGAGGTGATTGATCTGCAAGGGGTTAGTGAGCATGCATGGTGATCCTCGATCCTAATGAATGGATCAACTCACCAGGGATTGCAGCCAAGACATCTGGTGATCCGGATGACACAGAATCATATTCTATGTCATCATCTGGCCCTAGGTATAGATCATCTAAGGAATATCCAGTAAATAGATAAGGCATGATAAAAATACAACACACCTAGTGATGCCTGGGACACAGTGGACTCATGTTGTGTGGGGAACTTACTGATTTGTTGACTGATAATTGAAAAAACTTCGAAGTTCAACACAAAACCAGTGATTGCTGGAAGTTGAACTGGGACCAAACAAAGACAAACAATCAACAATTTTATCAATCGTCCATCAAATGTGTTGTTTCTTTTGAAACTTCATCCTTGTGATAACTGATTTCAACCCTATTTGAAGATCTTTAAATCTCTCAACTCAATCATCATGTCCACTCCAGTTGACAACTCTTTGACTGGTCTCAAGGCATCCACTGCCCAGATCATGGCCATCATCAGCAGTGCCTGGCAGATTCTCCCAGGTAACAGCCACTTTTCTCTGACAACACAGGTCAGTTCACTTGTGGTATGTAGCTTTCTTTTTTCTTTTCTTTTTCTCTCTCTAACATCCAGGCAGGCTCAAGTGATCAAGGACTATGGGTCTGGACCCCTGCCCAGCATCATGCTTTCATGCTCCAAGGAGCTATTGCATGTCTGGGGCATGACTCCCCAGGTCTGGCCCAACTGGCACAACATCAGGTATGATGATCCCCATCTCTTGACACATGTCTGGCGCCCCAAGCTCCTCACCTGGGAGGCCTTAGGTGACCATACCCTTGATCTCCCAGTTGCTGCTCCTCCCTCCACAGGTCCGATTCCAGTGGACCTTCCCTCCCCACCCATCTGCACCGGCAATGTCACCAGTCCCTCCACCAGCACCACCACCAAGTTCCAGGACAAGGGGAAAGGTAAGGCTGTTGATGCTGACCCAGAGCCTGAGGTGGAAGGGAGCCAGAAGAGGAAGTCTCCCATGATTTTGGGACTCTCCTCCAAACTGCCGAAGTCTGCGATGAAGACTCGCAAGCATGCGAAGTCCTCTCACTGGGTGACATCCAAGCCCCTAGTGGACTGGGAAGATGAGGAAGACATGGGTATTCAGGTATGTTGTCTGGTTCGTCTTTGACTTGGCTCACAGTTTCTTGTAGCCATTGTCGGGTGGAGTGCCAGAAGTCGTCCTTCCCCGGCTCTCCAATTCACCTAGATCACCCTGGGTTCCGACCAAAAAGCCCTTTGGCCCTGCTACAGTAAGTCACATTTATGTGTCTGGGACTTGGGTGTATGCTCACACTGTACCAGGTGATTGCTGGCAGTCACCTGGCGGTCATTGAGCCCTCCCAGCTGACTCCTGAAAGCCCGGTGGAGGCACCCCCAGTCATTGATGGAGGTGATATTCTCATTCCTGGACCAGTGAGTACTTTGATTTATTTGAAAGTGTCCATTCACTAACACAATCCACAGAACAACCCATGCCAGGCTTGCACCAAGCTAAAGTGGCCCTGCGCAACTCGGTTGGACAAGAGGACCGGGAATCCATGCATGTTGTGTGTCTGCTGCACAACAAAGAAGGTCAAGTGCATCCTGGTGACTATGGGTACCCTGCCAAAACATGTTCATGGGTCCTCTACCACCTGGAACACAAGGTCCAGGACACCCTCTAAGGCTCCCTCCAAAGCTCCCCCCACCTCCCAATCCAAGGCCCAGACTCACAGTCAGTCTCGTGGCAAGTCCAGAACTCTGGGTGTCACTGCTGTGACAACCCCCAAGACCCAGATGTGTGGTCGCAGCAAGACCATCACTGCCATCAAGGCACCCGCACCTGCACCAGCTCGTAAGTCACCCAAGTTTTGTTTCATCACCATCTGACCATTATTTTCCCTTATAGCACCTCTGTCTTCGAGTTCAGCAGTCCCTGCTCCAGCACCCAGTCTGGCAGTCCCTGCTGCAGCACCCAGTCTGGCAGTCCCTGCCGCAGCACTCGACCTGCCCATGCCAGATCTCCATGCCATGGCAATTGCAATTCGGGATGGTGCAGCTCGCATCGCCATTCTCGAGGCTCGTGTGGCAGAGCAGGATGGTAAGATTGATACCCTGCAATGCCTCCATGAAGGCCTTAGGTGCAAAATCATCAACTGGCACCCCACATTCCCACTTCCCGAACCTCCAGCCAATGCAACATCCTTGTTGCTTGATCAATCCGTCCCCCTGACCATGTCACCATCTGCATCTGCACTCCCCCCTCTCATTGATCTCTCGATAGGAGAGATGATGCCTGCACCCCCAAAATTTGAGGATGCCTCTGTCATTGAGGGCCTCCTGTTTGAGTACAACCAGGTTGTTCAAACAGAGGTTCCAGATACATCTGGCGAAATTGTGGACCCGGGTGATCCAGGCAACCTGGTCCCAGAATATGATTCTTCCAATGACATGGATGTTGAGGTGAAGGTTGAAGCATCTTCTGAGGAGGTTGACATGGCTACATAATTGCATAGTGATAGACATATGTACAAGTTTTCCAATGAATGTTACCTCTGCCAGTCCATTTATTCAATCACTGAGTCTCAAGTACTGAGTAGTGAAACCCAAAAGTTAGAAACAAACATCGAAACTCGAAACCCAACAGTCATAACAATGTATGAGTTTCAAGTTTTGAGTCTCAAATCACCAAGTCCTGAGTCCCAAAACCTGAACATCGAACCCCTTATATCAAACCCCGAAATCCAAAACTCAAAACTTGTCAAAATGTATGAGCTTTGAGTTTTGAGTGTTGAGTTTACAAATTGACACTCAAACCTCAAAGCTCATACATTTCAACAAGTTTCGAGTTTTGGATTTTGGGGTTCAATATAAGGGGTTTGATGTTCAGGTTTCAGGACTTGGGACTTGGTGATTTGAGACTCAAAACTTGAAACTCATACATTGTCATGACTGTCAGGTTTTGAGTCCCGAGTCCTGAACATCAAAACCTGACACCCGAAACTCGAAAGTCATACCAATATCTGAATTTTGAGTTTTGAGTTTCAAGACTTGAATCACCGAGTCCCAAGTCCTGAAACCTGAACATCAAAACCCGACACCCAAAACTCAGAAGTTGTACTGATATCTGAATTTCGAGTTTTGAGTTTCAAGACTTGAATCACTCAGTCCTGAAACCCAAAGCCCGACACCCGAAACTTGAAAGTTGTAAAAATGTATGAGTTTTGAGTTTTGAGTTTGAAAATCAATACTTGAAACTCATACATTTTTACAACTTTCAGGTTTCAGGACTTGGTGATTCAAGTCTTGAAACTCAAAACTCGAAATTCAGATATCGGTATGACTTTCAAGTTTCAGGTGTCGGGTTTTGATGTTTGGGTTTCGGGACTTGGGACTCGGGACTCAGTGATTCGAGTCTTGAAACTCAAAACTCAAAATTCAGATATTGGTATGACTTTCAAGTATTGAATCACTGAGTCCTGAAGTCCAACTACCGACACAACTTTGGGTGTCAGCATTCGGTATGCAGGTGTTAAGAACCATGCTCAAAGGAGAGAGAGACTGACTCAGAGGGGCTTGGCCTCAGCTCGTATGCTGTGCCCCTTACCTGAGTATGTGCCCTTCATTTCAGAGGAAGTCCAATGATGGTCCGATGAAGTCCAGAGGACTTCCGGAGGCTGGCTACTCTGGTGGAGAGTGCGGGAGGACTTCCGGAGGAGCGCAGGAAACGTCCGGAGGAGCGCGGGAGAGTTCCTGCTGCAAGGTAATACTTCTACAGGAAAACAGGATGGACAGATAGGAGGTCTGGAGGTATGGAGGACGGAACATCCGAAGGTATGGAGGGCGGAATGTCCAAAGGTATGGAGGGCAGAACGTCCAAAGGTATGGAGGGCAGAACATCCAAAGGACAGGATACCAGGACGTCCAGAGGTACAGAGGACAGGAGGTCCGGAGGTCCAGAATGAATAGGGGCTACATCAGACTTCATCCGATGTAGAAGCAAACGGAGGTAGACTACCCTAAGGTAGAGTCGGAGGGACGGGAAGTGGACCTAAGTCCGGAAAGAGGGTAAGTGCCAGAAAGGCAAGACTCCAGCCTAGGGAAGCAATCCCTAGACTTGGGACAGAGACATAGGGGACAAATCCGAAGGTCCGGAATTCCGGCCTAGGGAATCCATCCCTAGGCCTTATGGAAAAGGACAAACTCAGATGGACTGAAGTCCAGAAGAAGATTGGCAAGTAGAACAGGATCTAAGATGATGAACAGGAACTAAGATGATATTCAGACTGAGGACTCTACTGTAGTTGTACAGGGGTTATATACTAGAGGCTATCTAAGAGGATCAGTAAGCAAAGGAGTAAGGCTATGTATGAGCATGCGGAAACACATTGGTAAGTAAGACAGAACATAAGTAAATGAACTCGGAGATGAAACTAGTACAAGGATCAATCAGCAAGACAGAAACAGAGATAACTGAGAACCGGAAAGGGGGAGATGCCTAAATGGGGATAGGCGCAGGATCTCGGACGGAGGGTGGGAATAGGTCTGGAGATAGTACAGTTAATATCCGGAGGTCCGGAGATCTGGGGATCCAGAAGGCAGGGCGGAAACAGGACTGAGATATGTGAGGTGGTGGATGTAGTCCGGAATCTGAGAGGAGGTAAAGTCCAGATGTCTTGCTGGATGGAATGTGCATAGGGTGGACAGGATAGGGGATCCAGGAATGAGTCAGATATGGGGTCCGGAAATAGGTCCAGAAAGCGTGGGAATATGATGGGATCTATGTCTGGCATACGGGATATGACAGCAGGCCTCAGTGATTCAAGACAGGAAACTCGACAGTCATACAAATGTTTGAGTTTTGAGTTTTGAGTTTCAATGTTGGTGTTTTGAAGTTTTGGGTTTTGGGTTTCAATAGTTGGGGTTTGATGTTCAGGTGTCGGGACTTGGTACTCGCTGTGTTGACTTTGATCGACATTGACAGGATCTGAGTCTGAATGTCATTGATGACTCAGATCAAAACTAGTGCAACAGCATTGCTCATATGTATGTCCATATAGTATACCAATACCTCAGCCCATATGTCTAAATGATATGTATTTGGGCATACCTGTTTATCTAATATACCCTATGTCAGCCCACC